TGGGATGTGGCTTTTAATGATGAGACCTTTTTTGTAATCAGGCTCTCAAAAAGTATATAACAATTTGGATATAGATTTATCGGCTTTCAAAAATAAAGAATAATCGGTTATCGGTATCGGCCAAAATTTTCATATCGGTGCATCCCTACTTGAAATACTCTCACCAGCGATAGCCAGTGAGAATTTTTCTTAGTGACTTATTAAATCTGCAGCATTTTAAAATATATCTAAGTTTGCAGTCTGGTCCCCCAACAGAGATAATCAGCCCAAAAATAAATTCATGTGTAGGGCTGGACGATATGGCCAAAATTGATATCACGATATATTTCTTAATTTCGGTCGATACGATATAAAGTGCTCCGAGTCGCTGCAGAAAACAAAAAAATTGAACAAAAAAACTGGAAACGTTGCTGGAAATGGGCTTATTTAAAATAAAAGCTCATTCTCTGCCAGCACGAGGCGCTTTTAGAGTGATAAAACTAGCGGTTTCTCCAGTAATGGCTGTAATCACAGCAGCTCCGCTCATGAACGCTACTTTATCAGATAAAATGAAAATGCCATCGAAACTTTTCTGAAGACAGTCAGTTCCCTTCAGAGATACATTCATATAAAACACCCGCGCCGTGTTATGATTTTGAAACGTGCAGTGCTCATGTTTATTCAACGAAGTCAAACACCACAAATAAATCAATGTATGGGAAACTGGTAATGTATATCGAAATATCGGAAATGTGTTTAAAAATCATATCACCGTTACTGAAAAAAAATTATATCGCGATACATATTGATATTGAATTATTGTCCAGCCCTATTCATGTGGTTAAACAAGTAAATTCAACTGCTGAGGACGAATCATATGGTCCACTCTAGGCCAGCCAGTACCCAAAGTGTCTCCGACTGCTTTTCTTTATCTCTCACACTCTTTCATTCAGTCTCTTTCATTAATGCTCTTGGCACAGTCCCATTATGATGCTCCAAGGGTCCTCCACTTGTGAACCTTGCGTTTTGGCTGCAGCCCAGCGGGGATACCAGTGTAGATTAAAGCTGGGCCTCTCAGCCATTGGCCACGCCGCATGCACGGACGACCATGTCCCTCCACTTGCTCGCAGTGAAGGGGAACAATGGCAGCATTCCCAGCAGTCAATTCATTTGCTTTTTGATGGACTCTGAATGAGAGCATTTTAATTGGATGTGTCTTTAGAGGGGACAGTTGTGGCTGCCGAGGATTGGCTAGTAGACTCTTTTACTTTCTGTCAGCGCTGGGCAAGCCAGATAAGAGGGTGTGAAGGGCTGGCATGGAGTGGAACAGTGAGGGAGTGTAGAGGAATGGGAGAACAGGGCCTGGAAATGCTTAATTATTCATACCATCACAAACGGCCTCAGCGGATTTGGCACTGTTTGGTGGAACCAGACCAAAAGGAATCTGCTTCTTTGCACCAGTCCCATTTTTGTATGAGCTTCTCACGAAAATGTTGTGTAGTATTTGCCGTCATCATGATCTCACCACTTCTGTTACTGGATGTCAGTGGATTCAGTAGAGCAGTCTGTGGCTTTGTGATATAACAGGGCTGCACAATTGATATTTACTTTTTTCTATTTATGCTGTGAGGATTAATGGGAGTAATAACTATAATAAAAATGACAATTTTTGTCCCCAATATTGTCAAAATAAATGCTAACGTTCAAAAATAAATACAGTCTAGCACTTTGCACATTGTGCAGTTACGATTTTGACATTAGCCATCAAGGAGTTTCAAGTAATGTAGGAATTGGGAGTGTACCCCCCTCCCCCCACCCATCACAATGATGGTACTCAAAAAAATTTTTCAAAGGTTGGCAGGTCTGGCAAAGCCATTTCAGCTGCCATCACTCCAGTCTTCCAGTGTCACACGATTCTTCAGAAATCATTCTAATATGCTGATTTGGTGTTCAAGAAACATTTCTTATTGTTACTTACATTTTTTTATGAATAGAAAGTTCAAAAGAACAGAATTTATTTTAAATATAAATACATATTTTGTAAAATTACAAGTCTTTTGTGTCATACTTGATCAATGTAATTCATAGTTTCTGAATAAAAGTATACAAGTTTGAGTGGTAGTGTATGTTTCAGTTAAAAAAGAAAATTAATCTTTCAAAAATATCTTATGCAACATGCTTTATTCTTGCACACTGTGCTTTAGGCCATTTAATTTGTTCTTATGATTTTTAAAATCCAGGCAACATCATATGAAATCAATATTTGTGTCTTGTTTCCTACATTTTGGTCCAGAGTAGAGGGTGAATGTGTTGGGGATACAATGGTCTTTTGGACTTTTTCTGTCACTGTATATTATGAATGTGAGATCAGGGCATAACCATCCTTGAGGAAAATGTGCAACAAATTATATAAAATTTGCTTTAGTGGGCTAAAACTTTAGCTTTAGCTTCTACCTCCACCAGAAAACAGGAATGCATTTGAATAACTTGCCTGTTAGTCAGTGTTCTACTCTGACCTTGTGATTTCTCTTCACTGTGATTGGCTCTCATCATTTGTTCCCTTATTCTTTTGTTATAGCCATGCCTATGTGGGTCAGGACTACAGCATTCAGAAGAACATCGGGAAAATTTCTCTTGAGCAGATTGATGCGGTAAGTAAAAACTAAAGTTATTGACATAGTTGCATTAATTCTCTAAAATGCTATATATATATATATATATATATATATATGCATGCATAGGAGTATTTTTTAATTAAATTATTAAAAAAATAATTTGTGCTGCATAGGATTTATTGTGAATTTTACAAATTTATTGGGTCTCAGGAGAGTGTCCTTCACTACTTGCTTTATATTTGGCTCTTGAGACTTTTTTTTAATATTTTCCTTTCCCTGAATTCTCAAGTTACTAGGACATTAAGCATGTCCTACTTTGGTGGTTGGAGTGGATGTGCACAGATGTTTCCCGGGAAGAAAGCTGTCTGTGGGAAGATCTGCTTCTTTGTGTGTGTGTGTGCATGGTGTATGCCATCTCAGGGCCGGTTGCAGTTCCAATTAAGTGGCTCATCAGTACATGCAAATTTTGTCCTTCACTTTTTGCTTTTATTTGAGCATTATTGGATGCACGGAAATCTCTTGTAATTAAAGCCTTTACATTAAAACAAAGTGCCTCTGTTTTGAATCCTCATGTCAGTATTTCACCACATTGTAACCAGGTGCAATAAAACTATTCCATGTAAATGCGAGTTTTTTTTCCTAATCACACATAATTGTACATTTAAAATCAAATATTTCTTGATTGGCTGTGATTGTGTCAGTTGTTTACAGTGGACCTTTGGTCTCTGTGTTTGTCATCTTTTAAGGAACTGATACTGTAGCTGTGTGCACCTCAGAATTGGCTAATTTATAAATCAAGCCATTTTTAATAACCACTCTTCTCTTTTCTTCGCTTCCACCAGCTCTCGGGCAAGTCCTTTCCTCTGTGTATGAGGCATCTCCACAAGGCACTGAGAGAGAACCACCACCTGCGGCACGGTGGGCGCATGCAGTATGGCCTCTTTCTCAAGGGCATTGGTCTTACTCTGGAACAGGCCCTGCAGTTCTGGAGGTCAGAGTTTGTCAAAGGGAAAGTCGATGCAGACAAGGTAACTCTTCATCTTCAGCTTGTACTCCCTCACATTGTCCTGGTTTTCCACCGGTTTTTGTCCCCAGATGGTTACTTTAGTATATTTTTGTGTTTGTAGCAATTCTTTGATGTTCTACTTTTTTGCTGATGTCATTCTCTTTCTTCATCCCTCAATAACTCTTAAGAGGGTCACCCAAATGAATGAGAGAAGATATTAGAAGGCCAAGTTATTCAGCTCTCTTATTTTGATGCTGGAGATAATTTGCTGTCCTTACATCGTGTCCTTAATTACAATTCTAGAGGAACACGTAAGATCTTATTTTTTGTGCATGGTACATTAAACAAGAAAATTACACTCCCAATCTCAGACCTATGTTTCCCTCCCTCCCTGCACTCCACAAATTAATGCTCATTCCCAGCTGATGCTCAATCAAGGAGAAACAAATGAATTTCAGATCCTTACCTGAGAATGGCCATCCTGACGGGCACGCTTTTGAAGTAATCGTCTGTCTCCCGAGAGCTCAGTACCAGCTCAGAAATCACTTATTACATGCTGAATTTCTCTCTGGCTGCTCCAGCTGTTCTGGAACTCCCAATTTTATGTTTTCCTGTTTCTTTTGGGATTGTAGCTGCTTAGTTATTATTTTTTAGGGATGCACCTACATTAATTTTTTGGGCTGATAGCAACCAATAAAAAAGTGTTAGTTGTGACCAATAACTGATTGTTAAACCACAAAATACTTGATACAAAATAGGTGTTAATTAAAAGTTTAGAATATGGACTTTGCATATTGGTGAACTGACCAACACAGACTAAATTAACTACATTTTCTTAGTTATTAGTCAATCATTTACGGGGTCTCCACTGGTCCTTGTTCTGCATGGATATATGGTATTAATTAGGGATGCACTATATTATCGGACCAATATCGGAATCGGCCAATAATGGCTTTAAATGTAAATATCGCCATCGGCCCAATATGAAAAATTATGCCTATATGTCTTGCCGATAAGAGAAATACATTAACTCACATGTGCTCAGGGTGTGCTAGCGATTAGATCAAGTCAACGGTGCGATTTGATCACGTCAGAATTGTGGCTCATTCTTAAAGCAAAGTTTTGCCTGAATGGTGATTAGATTCACTGTTTTGGATCGCTGCATTTAAACTTAGAATGCATGTACAGAATGAAGCCTTAGGTGTATGATAGAGTAAACAGTAATAGCTCATGTAGTGGCAGCCTCCCTCAGGTCCTAATGCCCGCTCAGTAAGGAGTTTTAATTCCGTAGGGGGGCGCTGTTGGCCTACTTCTAATAAAATGAAAGCAAAATACAGTAAACAAATAATATTTAGACTGTGTTTCTGATTAAATAAAGCCGTAATTGATGCCATAAAATCATGAGTGTTTTGATTTAAAGGTCAGAAGCTGTAGCTTACATGAAGAAAAAAAATCACAAACATGACACTTAAATTAAATAATTATATATATGTACTGATTTATTCATTAATGTGTAATATGTTATATTTTTTAAACAAATTATGAGCTCTAAGAGATTTTTTTACAATAATTTTGCTTTAGACCATTTACAAATGTTAAATCTTAAAATAAAATGTTAAAGTTTATTATTTGATTGATATATTGTTTATTTATAGTTATTTTCAAATCTTCAATGTACTGTCATTATAAAATAACTTCATTATTGTTTATTTAATTCTAACAAATAAGTTCTTGTGAAAAACTAACCAAAATTAAAAATAATTATATGGCTTTGGCTGTCGGCCAAACTGAGTTGAAAATTATCGGCATATCGGATATCGGCAAAAATCCAATATCGTGCATCCCTAGTATTAATTATATTTTTGCAGGTCTTAAAAACAATTATAAAAAGTCTTACATTTGATTTTAAAAACACTGCAGATGATTTAAACTCTGATTTATCATATATTGTGAACATTTAATATTTTGGTGCTTTCTTATTTTACATAGTGACTCATTTATTCTCATCCGTGAATAAGGAATATCTTTTGCGCTTATCGAGCTGATGTTATGCTAACCATCCAGAATTTGTGCCTAAACGTTTCCCTCTTTTTTTCCTCCCTAAAGCATTACAGGATTTATTAGACTGTATTTGTGTCAGCAGCTCAGATATCGAATACGCAATTGATCTACTTTTGTGCAGAAGTGTTTGACTGTCCAAGAAATTTATAATGACAGAGCATTCCTAAGTGTTGGCATATTTTCTATGTCAATGGCAGAACTTCAAGGGAAATCTCCTGAAACTCTCTGAAGCGCTGCCTGTTTGGATGCTTTGGAAAGATGTGAAGTATTCATGACTGGTGCAGGATAGCATTTTGTTATAATGTAATTTATTCAAATCATACTATAAATCTTCTATACTATTAGCAGCTAATATTCAGTTAATTCTTGGATTGAGGCAACATGATTCAATTGTGAATGCAACACAGTGAATGCAAACAAATACCCTGAAATGTTTTTTGTCATGTGCTGATGAATGCATTATTCATGAGTAGATATACTGTGAGTGAAGGACAGCACAGCCTGTGCTAGCTGCTAACAATAACATGGGAGTTTTTGAGTGGTCTGCAATTGAGGTGAATATCAGCATCTGAAGTAATCTAAAATGAATAAGCTGCACAATGGAACTGTCGATTTCTGCATTCACATGAGCACAGAAGAATGGTGGGCAATATTCTGTGACGTCATTGTAAAGCAAAACAAGTGAAAGATTTGGGTCATTTTCTACAGAATGGTGCTTTTTGTATTTTAGAGGAAATAAGATGTCAGTTTATTTCGAAAAAGCAATGAAAGAAGATCAAGAGGACAGACAAGATGGGGAAATGGGAAATGTATTACCAAGCACCTGCAAAGCAAAATGGAAAATAACCACAAATAACTGGACTTTAATAGGTTCGACTGACATTCTTAAATGGTAAGTTTGTTCAACAAATGATGTTGACTTTTAGCATTTACAGAAAATTAAATTTTTTTAAGTGTTCATACCATCACCAAAGAAAAACTTTAGAAAATAGCTAGAATAAGTTTGATCTTAATAAATGTGCCAGTCCACTTTTTCAGCAGCCTTGTTTCTGGACATATTTTCCCATAGCGCTTCCAGGACATTGCAGAACGGTTTTAGCACAAATTCCTTGTAGCAATTTTCTGATTGTTGTTTTTTATCCTAATAGAATCATGGGTAATTGTAGTTTTCACCAGAAAGTCTGCTGTTAAACATGATTATTTTAAAAGTAAGTTGAAATAATGTAGACTGATTTCTTCAAAAAAAGCATATGCCATTGATTACAACCTCAGAGATCACAACAGGTCTATCTTTAAGTTATTAAAAATCAATGCCCCTATAAAGAAAATTATTGTGTTTTTTAAATTCTGGAACCCTATTGCATATATACAGTGTAAATTCATTAGACACGCTTTTTTTTTTTTTTTACTGCCCTCTATACACCCTTTTTTGGCACCTTTCAAGTATGTAGATAAAGTCAGCGGACACATGCCACCCTACATGCAAAGACCAGTGCCCCTGTGCAAAGCAATTACATTTTCTAGTGATATAATGCCCTTGAGCTGTGTATTCATGCACTATCCCAGTTCTTCTTGCTTCACTTCCACACTTGCCTCCATGGCAGTAGCTTAAAATAGGACTCACAGGACAAGAATGGTTAGCAGTGGCCGGCCTTCAGAAAATCAAAATCCAGGCCAATTTAGTTCTATTAGAAATGCTGCGGCACAAGTCCATCTGAAACTTCTGTGCAGTCAAGCGGAAAAATTCTTTGTTTTTGTCCTTGCTCTTAACATGTTCCCTGAAGCTAAATTCAAGTACAGATATAGTGAGCATGGAAATGAATGAGTAAATTTGGATGGGCATGCCAAAGTAGTTTAACTCTGCGATGGACCGGCCATCTGTCTAGGGTATTTCCCTGCCTGCGGCCTGAGTTGGTGGGATAGGATTCAGCATGTCCCTACATAGGAGAAGTGGTTTGAAAAATGGATGAATGAATAGAAGTAATTTGAACCTTTATTATGTTACATTTACATAACCGCTGTCAAGTTTGGGGTCAGGATTTTATTTTAAAATAACTTCTATTCTAGCAAGGATGGATTAAATTAGTCCAAAATGTAAAGACATTTACATTTTTACTTTTTAATTTCAAATAAATGCTGTTCTTTTGTTCCATTAGGGTTGGGTTTTGACACATTTCACGATTTGATTTGATTCTGACTCGCAAGCTTTCGATTCAAGCCGATTTTAGATTTGATTCGATTAAATTCAATATCGATTATTTTGGAGACATATCAAGTACAGTACATACCAAATTTTCCCAAGGAAAAAAAAAATGTCAATTGGTACTACTACTGTATAATATTGGTTATAATATTATATAAGGTTAAAATTAACTGATTTGTATACAAACTCTTAAATTACACTCAATTAAGCTTTTATAATAATAAAGTTACAATTACATAGCCTAATTATATTTCTACTCCAATCCGTTTTTGAAATATAAACATTTAAATGGTGGCTGTCTTAACTTGACAGATTTAAGCATAAATTAAATATTGAAGAACAGCAAAAAAATTATAATGAATGTTATTTGGTGCATATATTTAGCAAAATGCTCCTCTCTAGAGTTCATTTTTAAAGCTGACTAACGAGTTTATGGTCACTGAATATGTTTTTTTCTGAGACAGGATACAGATTTGATAGATTAGGGTTAGGTTTAGATGTTGTTCTCTTTTAAAATACCTTTGAATGTTTATTCATGTTTATTTTGGGCTGGGACTGGTATTAAAGGGTTAGTTCACCCCATGAAAATTCAATGAACATTGAAAATACAATGAAAATTCTGTCATTAATTACTCACCCTCATGTCGTTCAAAACCCGTAAGACCTCCGTTCATCTTCGGAACACAAATTAAGATATTTTTGATGGAATCTGAGAGCTCTCTGGCCCTCCATGCAACGCAACTGAAATGTTCCCAGACAGAAACGTAGCAAGGACATCGGTAAAACAGTCCATGTGACATCAGTGGCTCAACTTCAATTTTGCGAAGCTACGAGAATACTTTTTATGTGCAAAGAAAACAAAAATTACATAATTTATTTAACAATTCTTCTCCCCCGAGTTACGTCTTCTGCCATTTTGGAGAGTAGCCAAGAACGTAATCAGCGTTGTTTACGTTAGGAGGGGAAAGCGCGCGCATGAATG